CAGATTCCGCATAGATTATGCTGATTAACATCAGAGTTCGAGCTCCGGAGAACACGGCTTCTCACGTCGGGAGCTCCGTGAGGAGGAATGTTGTCGGATCAAAATTAGAGGATATTCCCCCCGAGACTCCTCTCCTCTCATTCTATTGAATGCCTGGAGGATGTGTTCTCTGGATATTGGAGGCATTTCCCGGAGGGAAAGACAATCTGAGGGACAATTCGTCTATCCGTAAGGGGATGAGTCATTCGAAAATGGAAGACCAACGCGTCCTAATGATTTTGATCGGACGGCATCTTAAACGATCGTTTTGTTGTTGCACCTGCGAATAGTCCCCTTCGGAAGATTTCCCGGTGATTTATCGTAGAGTACGCTGCGTCATTCCCGCTGAGAGATCTCACCGGGAGACATCATTGTGTTGAGCGCTTCATGAACGAAACAACGCCGCCATCATCAACGAGAAGGGAAAGACGTCGATTGTATGTTCCACTTTTGAATTAATCGAATGTTGAGCCGAATCGCCGCTAGAAATATTCTAACCCCCCTCGACGGTGCCGATGGTGACGAAGGCACTCTTAGTGCTGTGAGAACTTCGATGCTTCCAGCCGCCTCATGCTGCTCATGGTCAAGAATAGAGTTGAAGGCCGTAACTCTGTGGCTCATTCATGCATCGAACACTTCCAGACTACTCGCATTTCAGTCCAGGTAGCCTGCTACTCCGTGGGCAGGCCATCCGAGCCCGCATCGAAACTCGAAGTCGACCACAATCATGCAGATTCTTTGTCAGACCGCGCCAGCCGACCGCTCCGAAGCTCCGAACAATATAGTATATTGGTACGGTAACGTTCCCGCTGCACACCTCCCGTTCGCCAGATGAAAGAGGTGTAAAATGATTAGAATTCCGGACGACGAATTTTTCGCTCATCCCACTCATTTCCCTCCTGCTTTCCATTCTTGTACGAGGCGATTCTTCGTGGAGAAAAACGTCTCAAGAAGCGGGAAGCCAACTCCCCCTCGAATTCCGAATCAAGTGCCCTTAAAGCTCGCAATCGATCGGCGCTCAGTAAATGAACGCGGCCCCGTTTGAAAGACCGGCCACGTGCCGCTCTTACTTAGTGCGCTCCGTCAGAATCCCAAGATGATTGCTGTTCAATTCGATCGGGAAGAATCGGCTCGTACGAGCTCTTTCTTGACTTGTTATTCTTTGTATTGCTGCCATTTACCTCACGCGAGGAAGCAAATAGTTCGGAGACGCTTCTTGTGGGGAAGAATGTTTTGGGAATTTTTCCCCAAAGCGCTTGAAGCCATATGGAACCGTTCGTGATAGAGCTGTTTCTCCCGGTGCCCCCCTCAGTGTAAGGAATTGACCATGAGACAGAGATTCTCACCTCCGGTCGCTTGCCGGAACACTCCGGCTCCATCCACCAAGGCAATGCTCCTTCTGCACGCGAGAAATATCCGAATGGAAAATCTCAGCGAATCCCGACCTCAGATTCGGGGAGTACCTACACGATTTCTCCGCTTCCTCGTTAGAAGAAGTCGATGGAGGATCTGTAGCCGAACATTTTAATTCTGGACTGGATTTTCTCCCTGAAAAATCTGTTTATGGACTATCGATGCGGTAGGGATGCGTTTCTGCAAGTCCGATCGAATCCGACAAAGTTCGAAAGACAAGTTTCGTTGCCTGGAACTGATCATGCCGTCAACCGACTTTCCCGATAGCCTCAACCAGAGTCAGAAAAAATGTAGCGAGGCTCTTTAATTGGACGTTATGCAATGATTGCCCAACCGTGAGCAATTAAGCGAATTCTGATGAGGGAAAGTGTTCGGAAAGGGCCACGCCGTCGCCTACTCGTTCATTCATCGGAATTCTCATCCCTCCCGGTTTCGGGAGTCATCCGATACCATTCCGAGTCAATAGATGTAAATATGGGGGTCTCTATGCATGTGAAAAGCAGCGTCATGGGCACCACCCAGAATAAAAACAAGTTGATCTCCGACGCTTGTCTCTGAACAAAAGGAGAGCTGCTACATAAGTGGTTCGATTGCTGTTTCATGAGCGGCTGCTCCTCCCCTGATGGTTATCGGGGCTTCTTGACTACACCAGAAAAAAAAGAAGATAGGCGACTCGGGGAGAATGAAAGGTGACGTTCTCTGCAGCGTGTCGTTCCGACTAACGGAGTCTTCGGCTTTCTGTCGCGGGACACCGCTAAAACTTTGTTTCCGTCGCTTCGCCTGAGGGGCGTCACGTTGCGCGCTCACTTTCGTTGATTCCTCTTCGATTGCTCGATTAGAGGCTCCGGTTGCACTCCCGAATCGGGGACCGAGATCGAGAGTTCAAGAAGGATTTTTTTATTCTTTTACGCCGAACCCCTCATCACCTGAACCATAATTGATGATTTTTTGAACTCAATCTCGAAGCCGAGGGTTCGGTGTTGCTCTGGAGGACGGACGGAGAGTGCGACTCAACGGATGCGGATCATTGCCCGGAACCAGTTTTCCCGTGAGGAGACTCTTTTTCGAGAGAGATTGAGCCGCGCCATCTCCCCTCAGGGCAGTAATATGTACTAACAATGAACGAGTGACAAGCGGCTTTCCACGGCCTGGGGTTGTTATTCGGCTAGCCGTCGATTTCATCATTCATCGGAGGTTTTCCTCGCCATAAGTTGGATCAAGAATCTGCAGCTTCTGAGTCGCCAATCTCCCTGAAGCTTCAAGGCTGCAGACAAACACCCAAAGGATAATTGGACCAAGGTTTAATATCTCCCGCTGACTCAAAGGTGCGAACGGGGAGCGTCTGGCCTTGCCGAGCTCCAGGTCCTCCCGTCGGGGTGAAACGAGAATCGTCATTCGAACTTGTCCTACAGGCCCGGATGGACCTTTCTCTGTGGATGGGAGGGTCTCCGGAGTTCCCTCGTTGCACCTACATATATTCGAGGTGTCTGCCTCACCCGAGACCCATCATTGGACAGACGACGTACGAGACTTACTGCTTAGTCGGCTTCGTCCGATAGCTCGCTCGACCAAGATCTGGACTGTCAATGACGTCCCGCCACCCAGAACGGGAGTTAAATAAGGATTCACGTGGATCGAAGTGCCTGAAGTCTGTCAATCGGGGAAGACGCGCCCATGATCCTCGACTTGATCTTGACAAGTCTCGAAAGCTCGAGGAAAATACGTACACTCCTGCTCAGTCCTGTACGTGGACCGGAACAGTTCCGAGCGACACAGCCTGCAATTAAGAAAGTCAAGCCTGACAGGAATCGGATCGGATCCAAAGCAATCCGCTCCTCCGGATTCCCCTTTGTCCGAATTAAGCGAAAGCCCCTGTCGATCGGTCAATGAAGGAACCGTTTCGCCGATCCATCTTTTCAATCGTGAGCGAAATTCGAGCGACTGTCAATATGTCGAAAATCACTGCGGAATCACCGGAGCTACGACTTACCCGACCGCGGGACCCATCCCGAAGTACATGGGAGTATCCAATAGCGCCGACAACATTGAATTTCTCCACTCTTATCGTCTCCGACCATGAGAGCTTCAATCCTCTAATTAGTATATGATCAAGCAATCTGACAACCAGGTTTCCTACGGAGAGCTCGCCTTATTGGATGACATCATACCGGGGGAGCCCCTGAATGCCGCCAACCAGCAGCGGTAGCTTGTGCCACTCTCGATTCCAGCCGACTAAAATCGCTGGGCAACGGCTCGGGGACGATGGTCTCCTTCAGCCTCCTTCTCCGCCCAGTGTTGACTGTTGAGCGATGAGCGCTGCCTCATTCGATTCCCGCTGATCGACTAATAGCTCCTGTGGGCAGTTTTTAAGACTTTGTCCGTGAGGAGTTTGTCAAAGGCAGAGACTGTGTACCGAAAGCCTGCTCGCACTTGACAATTGTTTGCAGAGAAACATCGGCTTCGAAATTGCCGCGTATGACCAAAAGACCGCGTTGGGAGTCGGTGGCCGGCGCTCGATGGAGAGGAAATTCCTCTGGTCGATATGAAGGAAAGTCTATGGAATCTTCCTGACTGTGAGGCGAATGAGTTTTCTCGCGTCGGCCCTGCATTCGATGGGTTAATTATATGGCGCCAAGCTGAGACTTGTCTTGTGCGTAATAGCGAGTGGTCAGATACGCCACGTCAGTTTTTGACGGGCACTGCTTCCCCAATCTTGACATGGGAAGCTAACGAATCGAGCCACTTTTGGCTCCAGTCGACGAACAAGCGGGTGGGCTCGCTGAACGTCATGTTCCGCGGAGATGATGCGGTTTCTGTGCTCTGTGCTTGAAGGCTTTCCGTTGCGACATCCGTGATCAGCAAGCTGTCTGATCGCTCGATCTGGAACCCTCGAACTCTTTCGTTCACGCCACCGGCCGCTTCGAATTCGCCACCACCCAATCCCCTGGAATCGTCTCTTGATCCGATTCCCCTTCGACGGTGTGTGAGGAGAGAAGCTCGGATGCGTCGGGAGTCTCGATATAGCCATCTGCTCCGTGTTCTCAACATACCTTTCGCTTTTCATTTTATGCACTCCATCATTAATTTCTGCAGTGCTATCTAAATACAGACAGCAATCAGAAACTTCCTGGATCGTAGTTCCCTCGTACGCTCCGATGCGCTTCCTACCTGATTCGGAGACCCACAATAATTCGGTTCATGGTCGAAAGACCCAGAAGTCTTCGCGTATGTCTCCTGACGTTTCCTCTTTAATCCATATGTCATGTTGAAGAATGTTCGCAATTTTCCTTGCGCCCGCTGAAGACTTCACCGGGAGGAGCTGTCATCGGTGGCTTGCGGCTCACTAGCGGCGTCAATTCTCGTTGTCATCGCGTCAAAAAAAACATCTCATCGTCGCGTGTCCATAACACAAAACCGTGTACATCTAGAAGAAGAGCGGTCGATTCCGTCGTGGAAGGCGACGGGCCGAACATTGTCGTGAGAAATCGTCGGAGGTGCTCCGGACAGGGAGAGCCGCATACCGATTCTGAGATTCCGATTTGTTCTAGGTGGGTCTCATTCGGAAACATCGGTATCCGGTGGAGCACTTCCCGGTGCTGACGAAAGATGGCTTTCTTTTGAGTCTGGTGCGCATACCCTTATCGCGAGGCATTCCTCGGAGCTTCAAAACGGAACCGGGACCTCCAGTCTTACTCGTGCATGGTAATTGCGGTGGTCGGTGCGATTTATGATTTTTCGCTCATCGCTCTCGACAATCGAAGGGATCGTCCCTGATCTGATTCTCCGCGATTTCCAGGGATCATCTCCTCAGCTGACGATTGGGTTCTCAATACGCCGCAGAACTCTCCCGGATTTCTACTCTCCGACGCCGGATACGATGTCTGGCTGATAAACACTCGAGGAACCCCGTACTCCAAACACCTGAAGCACCGACGTAATAGCAAACAGTTCTGGGATTTCAGCTTTGATGAAATCGGCAACTTCGATATCCCCGCAGCTATTGACTTCGTCCTGCACCATACGGGTCACCCGCAACTCACGATTCTGGGCTGGTCTCAGGGAACCACCGATATCATGGTGACGCTATCGCTGAAGCCGCAGTACAACCACAAGGTGAGTTCTCCCCCACTCTTCCTGAAGGATGAATTTGTTAAAGGAAATTGCAAAGCAAAGGCAAATAGCACCGAATCGTTGAGCAAACTGACTTCTACGCCGTCCAGCCGGCGCAAGAAGTGAACCTTCTTCGCGAAGCGTGTTCGCAACTCGTCGACCCGTCATCACAGACGTATTGTGCCATCAGTGTTTATATTTGGGAGTTCTCGCCTCTTTTATCGATCCAAGAAACGCGGGGCTCCTCTCCATGAAGATTCTATGTGGGAGTGAAAATTGTTGAGAAACAGAATATTGACTCTGTTCAGTCTTCTCTTTTTGACTGCCTGTTTACTTGACGAACGGACTGACCCGTTCATCCGCGACGATTGAATCCTCAACTGTTGATTCCCGCAGCGTGCGTACCATGCCACAAATTCCATTCGTCGAGTTCCGTGCTGCTCACGTACATCCTTTTCGATAGCTCCGCGTGAGCAAATTCGGCAATAGATTATTTGGAAGGCCGAATTCCCAGCAATTGGATCGAAGATTTCGGATGCGTTGCGAGGAACGAGGTCTCGGGGGCTCAACACTCTACCATCATTAACGGTATTTTTCAGGTGAAACTTTTCGTTGCGATGGCTCCCGTGGCCAACATCACTCACCTCGCATCTCCGATGACAATGCTCATCCCATTCAAAGGCTTAATTAAGGTGAGCCCCTGCGAACCGCGGTCACGCCTCCCGAATTTTTTCCTTCTGAATCTTAACGGAACCATATGATCAGAGGCGCGGATGGAGCCTTCCGGAAGTTTATTAATCTATCCCAGCTCTAGATCGACGGAAATCAGAAAACTGACTCGCACGCTCTCCGTGCGAGTTGAGCCCTCTCAGTTCCCGAAAATGAGATCTTCCTAGCGGAAATCTGATGTTTACTCCTATAGTTCGGTCGACTTCTGAGTAGACTTGCCCGCAGAATATTTCTATACTCAACTACGATTATCACTCGCTCAAAACATCGAGCGACCAGGGTTCCAGCTATAGGTAGAGAATTTGACTCGATACATAGCACGGATCTAGGATCGAAAGCTTAAGCGACGAGAATTGCGCTCGACTCGCGCGAGACCCTTCGACCCGACAGTTGAGCCAGGAGCGACTCACCGAACGGAGAAATTATTGGAGTCAACATGTCATAAGTATATATTTTCAAATTGGTGCTTGAACGGCTCTGCGTTTTCAATCTTCATTTCTTCCTGGAGTATCTTCGGGTGGTCTCGGAAGCGTTCTCGTTTGAGATGTCTCGCATATCCATCGTGAATTTAAAACCTTCGTGGCTTGTGGTTGTTCTCGGGTAGCTTGATTACTTCTCTCATCTATTATTTATTGAACGTCTCACTAACTCGAGTAATTGCGATGCTAACTGTGGGATATGAGTGCATCGATAGAAAGAGGAGGAGTTCCACCCGGGACTGCATTTCCCCTCGCCTAACGGTCAGGTATAATGGGGTTGAGTGTAGTGATGCCATGATCCGATGTGGATAAGTACCTATAATACGATCATCCTGAGTCATCACGGAGAGAGAAGGCGCCTCGTCGACCCGACGGAATTTAGTGTCTTTTGTTCGAGCCGGGCACCCCTTTCACTTTCCGGGACGGGGACTCACGACGGAGATCTCGAATCTCGACCGGAAGTCAGGGACATGAATTCCGGACACGCTCCAAACGCATCTCGGTCGCCACTCGAAATCGGGAATAAAACCACAACTTTTGGCACTTGATTTGATTGGCTTAGCACTAGCTCATTTTGAATGCCGCTATCCTGGAAGCGGCGATCGCGTTGATGAAAGTCGAGGTCTAGGATATAAATTCTGACTCGGAGATTCGCTCGACACGAATCACGAAATTTGTCTCCGAGAGGTGGTCTATTGCCGCTGACCATCGAAAATTTCCTAATGCGAGGCTTCGGGGCCGTGAAGCCCGATGCGCGACGGGGCGAGACGCGAAATAATCGCATCCCGGACGGAACAGACGGATCAAAATGCTTCTCGGTAATCTTCACTTCCTTTTCTACCTCGTTCACTGTACGCTCCTTTGATTGCTGTTTCTGGTCGACTTTCCCCCTCCATGGGATTCTGTGATGCGCGGCTAGCCGAAGTTCACAGTCGGGTTTTGCTGAAAGAGCACACACTCATCGACTCCATTGAGAATTACACAAAGATTTCACCGAACGACCGCTTGGTTGACGGAAGCCTTCTGGGGCCCGACAGCCGCGATAGAACGTCATTCGCGATTCTTGGCCTCTAGGCAAGCAGAGACAATCTGATGGTGAACCCCAGTATTGGGGAGTACTTCCCCCTGTATTGAACATCTTTCCCGATGCCTCTGAGCCCCTCGGAACCTTCTTCGAGATCGGAGGTTTGAAACAAACTCGGGGCAGCTCCAAATTTAATTAATTTCTGGCTATACGTAGTGAGGGGAAACGGTGTGTTGGTTTGCATGGGGGCGTAAGGTACGGTTTTGCATCTTGCTCCGACACTACATCGGTATCGCTATGACTAATCCTGTGCATTTACTGCTGTAGAAAACTCTGGACTTATATAATGGAGGCGGAGTATTACCCTCGAGTCGCCACTCGAGATCGATGTACAACCATATGTGCAATTCTCACATCCGGGGACTTTGTTTCCTGCCGGTGTCGGTCAGCGTGGGAATCAGCCCTCATCAGCTCAACAAGGTGGGGAATCGGGAGTCGCGCGGCGTAAATCGGCGTGAATCTATCTATTAGTGATTATGTCAGAAGACATACTCAATCCCATGTACATGCGTATGTCGCGAACTGGAATCAAGTTTGTACTACCGTTCCAGACGAGGATACCCGTCTACATGGCTCACATGCCATCAGGTACTTCAACCAAAAATCTGATCCATTTCGTTCAGGTGAGACGACAGGAAATCGCCGAGGACGCATTCTTTCTGTGATGATGTCGCGAATCGCCTGTGTTCCTCGCGCTCCGGAGAAAAACAAATTGCCTTCTTTGTAGATTCGCGACCGGAGAGAGTTTCGACGGTTCGACTACGGGGAGCCGGAGAATCTCTGGCGCTATGGCCTTCCCTTCCCCCCGAAATACCCGCTTCACAAAATAAGCACTCCAATGGCCCTCTTCTGGGGTGAGGGCGATCGACTAGCCACACCACAGGACGTAAGCACTTTGAGACGCGAATTGAGGCACACAATAGTCTTCGACTATCTCGTACCGCAGTCGGGATTCGCGCATCTGGATTTCACAATCGGCATCAACGCCAAAGAAGTACTACACGACCCGGTTTTGCACGTCATCAACGAGTTCAACAAGGGTCTCCATCTCGGATTGTACCGACCAGAGATCCACGACACGCTATTCGAAGCGCCCGTGCCACCATTCCCGATGCCACCAATGACGCACAAAAACCCGAGCGGGTTGCCAATCATGGGCATCAAGGTGGCTTCGATCGCCATGGGCAAACCCTGGCATCAAGACGACGAGTTCCCGCCGATGCCTCATAAGCCTCTCTCCTTCTTTGAATTCCTCAGGCCGCCCTCTCTGGATCCTGTTCACCGATATCATTTCGCTGGCGAGACTTTCGCTCATTTCGACAACACCATGCTGCAAGGTATCCCGGAAGATCCTCGTTTCGGCAGCTCTCACGGCTTCGGAAGTTCGCCGCCAAGATATGCTCTGACGAAGCCCATGTTCGCTCCTCACCGACCAAACAAACAGCCAGGGATCGAGATTGCGACCCAGGTGGCCCAGAACCACGTCGAGGAGCCCCCCGTAAATTATATGCACGGTCTCCGACCTCCACCGCCCGTTCGCAATGTCGCGAAGCCCACCGTCTCACCGGAGGTCACACCCGACGTCACACACGATCTTCAAGATATATCTCAGGAGCTCCCTGATTCGTCGGAGGGCGAATCAAACATCGACGAGCCAAGGCAGCACTTGTCTAAACTCGTACCGGCCGAGGGCCATTTCATCGACTACGGTCTGAGCACCAAGCCAATCGCCATGCATCCGGATAAGAATGGTGGCTTCCAAACCGACTGGTTCCCAATTACGGGGAACTCGAAGAAGTTGAACGTACAAGATTTGATGCCGTCGGCTTCGAAGGCTCAGTTGAGCCCTCAGCTCCTAGTTGGCGAGAATTCGAGAGAGATGATCAAGAGTCCCGCTTCGAAACCGTTGCGCGCCATATAGCGTTTTAAGTTATTGAATGAGTTTCCGAAATAGCTCCTCCCTCATGTTCGGTGTGTCCCCCGATTCGATCAAGTGAGAGGTGGTATCGATCGAATCGTTTTTTTTCTGATTTTTTTTCATATGTTATTTGTTGCCAGAGACTAGACGAAGGAGCTCTCTTCACGAAGATGTTCCATGGACTCGAGCTTAGGTTATGTAAATAATGTACATATGGTTACAAATTTATGTATATAATAATAATTGTACCTACATATGCTTCTATTGAATGCTGAGTTTGTTGCCTTGAATTATTTGAGTATTCCATCTGTACCTCAGCACGCAGTTTGTCCATAAATGAGGCGACCTCTCATTTTTCTAAAGTGCGTAGGCTTTATTCAGGACTCAAAATGTCCATTACAGCGTACAATGCTCTAGGGTCTTTTGCGCCTCATGACATCATTCGACTAGGTAAGCGAGCTCCAAAGCTTAACTACCATCGACAGCTTTAGCTTCACAGACTTGTCGATTTGTCCTCATACCTGGCCGAAAATACCATCGCCCTTCTCTCCGGAGACGAATCGAGATTTCATGCTCATCAAAGCAACCCCAAGGCATATTTGGATGAAGGATTGTCCCAGTAATTTCTCGAGACAGCCTGCGCTCCCAGGCGATGTCCGCTCGAGAGTCGCGAACGATTCCACAAGTCGCTCTCTAGTTTTCCGGCCCGCGGTCTCGGCATCGAAAATTTCACGGATGGATTCGTCGTCGGTGTCGCGAACATGCTTATCGAGATCGACCCGTCCAATGGTGATGCGTTCATTGACTCGATTCATCTCGCGATCAACACGGAGACGATTTTCGGAGAACAGTTCACTTCGCTTCTCATCCGATCGATCCCGTTCCTCTGAATTCGAGAGGCGTCGTTCCTCGTCAGATCTCTCTAGATTGTCGGGAGTACGGTGGTTTCTCTGGTCTTCGTTGAGCCTCCTGGTCTCGTCATTCTCGACGTTCCGGGATGAGCGCTCATCTCCCGTTTCCCTCTGGCTCTCCTCGGCGTCACGTTGCCTGGATCCGCGTCGTTCGTGGGAGTCGCGTCCGCTGAGCTCCCGGTCCTCCCGAGAATCAAGTTGCCTGGACTCGCGTCGCATGTCCCGATTTCTCTCTCGACGGTCCTCCGCTCGAGTTTCTTGCTCGCGGTTGACACGCGCTCTCGATTCCCGCTCACGCTCCACGATCACCCTACGCTCTCCTTGGACTCGACTTCGTGGCAGTTGGAGCTCCGTCTCCCCGCGAGCAGCTTCTACCCGCTCGCGTCTGTCCGCGTCCGGCTTCTTACGGACCCTGCGCTCGACATCGAATTGCTCCCTGGACTCCCGGAGATCGTCAATTCGAATTCTCCTTTCGTCCTCTGAGCGCTCTCGTAATTGCTCTCGCTCTCCGCTCCGAACTCGACGGTCATCCTCAGCGTTCGCTCGGACCTCTCGCGTCGTACGCTCGATATCTGATCGCTCTCGAAGTTCTCTGCGGTGATCAGCTCGGGCCCTCCGTTCGTCTACGGCGCGATCACGGAGTTCCTGGCGCTCATGAGCTCGGACTCTGAGTTGGTCCTCGTTCCGCACTCGGGAGATCCGGCGTTCTTCGACCCGATCCTCTCGTTCGTCCCTGACGCGCCGATTAGAGTCCCGGCGCGTTTCGAGCCGCAGTCTGCCCTCCTTGTCGAGTCGTTCACCCTCGTCTTTCCTGACGTCTGCTCGTCCGCTTCTTTCAGTGATCTGACGTCGATCATCGGCTCGGATCCTTTGCTCGTTTTCGATGTCTTCCCGGAGCTCACGGCGCTCCTGGGTTCGATCGGAGCGTTCTCTAAGCTCTTCACGGCTCTCGCGTGGATCCGATCGCTCCTCATCGAGACGTTCGGAACGAATTTCTTCCCGGGCCCCCCGCTCCTCGATATCACGACCCGCGTTCTCAAGACGTTCGGCGACTCGGACCCTCCTGCCGTCGCGGATGGAGGACCTAAGCCCTCGGTGGTTCTCGCTCCGGCGTTCTCTGAGCTCATGCTCTGTAGTCTCCCGTCGATCCTCCGCTCGGACCCTCCTTGCATCTTGGACATTTCGGTGTTCCCGCGCCCTCTCGCCGACCACGCGTTCGCGGCTCTCTCGCCGGTCCTCCGTCCGTTCGCTGTCCCGAATTCTGTGGATCTCGCGGCGTCCGGTTTCTCCTTCTCTCCTGTTCGATCCGGACCTGTCTCGGGCAGTGGAAGTTTCCCGATCGCTCGTCTCACGACCACTCTCGATTCTGCGCTCGTCTCGACGCTCGAAACGTGATTCTCGATCAGCTCGACGACCTTCCGAATGAGCTCGACGCTCGTTTACATCCAGCCTCAGCCGCCGTTCGTCTTCGCGACGCGCCGAATCCACACGACGTTCCTCCGATCCGAAGCTCTCCTGATGTGAAATCCGATCGCTGACGTCTTCATTGCGGATGCGTCGATTTTCAGTGCTCTCCTGATTCCCCGATCGGGAATCATCGTATCGAGTCATTCGGTCATCATCAATGCGTACGCGTAGCTCCGAATTTTCGTCGCGAAGAGTTTCTCCAATCACGTTGTCAGATGTTTTCATCCTTGTGGGACTGAACCCTGTCCACAGTGACTCCTGTCGGACTCGCGCATCGAGATGAGCGCTGCACGGCGCCGCGATGAGGAAGACCACCAAAAAGTATCGTCGCAGCTGCATATCTGGAGAAGGAGCAAGATGCGAAATCGTATTGGTGAACCCGATGCGGATCCTAGGTGCACCGAATATGATGAATACAACAAGAATTCGCAATCCTTTGAAATGAACTAGAGCCCCCGAGTCTCCGCCCCGGCACTTCCTGAGCGGGTGAGGGGGTCGGCTGGGGGTCTGCTCGGGAATTCTCCGTCGGTTCCCGATCCCGATCATCAGCGTCGGAATAACTCGCATCGAGTCGCGGAGCTCTCGATATCGAATTTCCTGATAATTAGTTAGTACTCACTTTGATCGCTCTGATTGTTGTCCAAAGTCTTCGTTCACCACACGAGGCTCAAGTAATGAGTGCCCAGCTCCGGATCCGAGATCCTTTTATAGGGTGGTCGGATCCCGGTCGGCGTGCTGCTGGGCCTCGCGAAGAGATCAACCCGAGAGGAACAAATGACAGACACATCGGTACACAACGACTGGAATGACGTCAGTGAATAGCCCCTCCAGCCATGCTCCGAGCACGCCTTAAACTATTATTAGCCACGAACTAATCATAAACACTGGAATTTGGGTGAACCTTGAAAATTCGGGTGAAGGGTGGTTTGTGAACCTAATTTTCGGGGGGGGAAGGAGTACCCCACAGACTTCTGCGACGATGAATCTATTGGCGTTACGTGATTTTGTACAGAGTATACAGAAATATCCGATATCGCCGGATCGGGTCAATTATCAGTTACAAACTTCTCGAAAACCGACCGTGTTTTCTCAAGGCGCGCGGCGTCGACGATGAGCTCTGAAGAATTCTCACGAGTCCTCATAGATGGCTCGGTCTCCTCTGTCATTCTCCTCTTTGGTTGATCGAAACGCTCGTAACATGGATTATCTACCGAGACGGAGCTGAGAGATGCCAGTCTCCCTCTAAAGTCGTAAGAATTGCTCGTGTAGATCTGCGAAAATACAGAAACCAGTGATCGACCGGAAGGAAGTAATTTGTCGAAGAGAGCACAGGTTGGTAGCCTCGCGAATGTGATGGAATAATGGCGCGATTTGGGAGAAGTCCGCTGACGTACCTCGAAGAAAGGTTGGAACCTCCGTGGTAATCGTTCTGTCACTTTCTCCGGGCAGAAAAATCTACCGAAGATCCTCAGAAGAATCACGACGAGAAGTATGAAGCCGATGAAAACTCCTACAGCTATCAATGACCTGGAAGGTTTGAAATCTTTACCTCACCGTGGCCTTCCATCGGGAACGAGGCACCGCAACGCAAAGAGAATGAAACGATTAGTCTCAGAATTCCCGACTCGTTTCCGATTTCTCATTGAATCGGATAACCGCTGCTTTGGAATCCTGTCCGGGAAAAGACCACCTACTTTTGTACAGGAGTGTAACTCGACATTTCCCAATATGTTTCCACGGGGAAAAGCTATCAATCGTTCAGCTCCCAATGTTTCCATGGGAGACAGCTTTCTGAGCGTTTCCGCAGGCGTCAACTCTTACATTGGCCTAATCTGCCAAGGATTAAAACAACTCCAGGAGTAAGCTGGGTGAGGAGGCTTGATGATATCCGTGTCTCGAAGGCATTGACAGATCGCGGTAATGAGAAAGTCAGATTTTCTCGGGATTCAGATAGCTCCAATATTTGCCTTCAAAAATCAGAGGTTCAGCGTTCAGCATCATTCTTTCTCTATGACCTCCACGCTGACGAGGGCTGTAATCATGAGTTATAGTAGCCACCCGGTGAGTCGCCATCACAATGGGATATCGCCGATCTGTCAAAAACGAAGACGGCAAATGATCGAGGACCGGCAACACTGCCTGGTTGGAAGCTCTGGCGGAGCGCTAGCTCGAGTCGCCACTCCCAATGACGTCCGGGAGAGCCGCAGAAAATAAAACGGGCTCGGCAATCCCGAGCACATTGGTGACTCAAACTTCCCCGCTTATATCTGTGAGGAGATTAGTAACGAGTAATCCGTATCTACGACCTCCGCCTCGGCTTCGTCCCCCCGAACGGCTCTGACTCTGAATGCTGTATCCGCCGGACTTCTCAAGGCGCGCAGTCGTTGAAGTCGCCTACAATATCGAATCCCTGTGAATGGAATTGCAGAGAATGCGATCGCAGTAGGTGACGATCATCCGATAGGAATTTGCGTGGAACCGACTATGGGAAGAGCCTCGAACGGTCGGTCGCGGCTTCCGGGATATTCTTGATCTCTACCTGAAAATTCATTTGCCCGTCTCCCTCAACTCCACAGTGGACGACATACTCTCCGATCGGATCTGCTGGGAGAAGACCGCTTGGTCGTTGAGGTTTCCTTGCCAAGAACAATTTGACCCTCTCGATGCGTGACGGAAACTTCATCCTTTTTCGCAGTACAAACAGCGGGGAGCAACGGAATACCACCGTCAAGGATTGTACTGCTCGACATCGACGGACCCTAGCTCCCAATCAGCCAGAAATCCTCGCAGAGAATTGGATCAAATCTCTCCGGAGTGGAGTTTTCACTCCCTCGAATTCGAAGGGCTCCTGGGCAACCGCACTAATAGCGTGAATCCCGAGCACAATCTCGACATTTCGGGCCGAGCTCCGTGCGGTATAAGAGGGTATTCCCTCTCCGCGCATTTTATCTGGGATTCCGGAGTGGCCAACGCCCTGCAGATCCGATGAAGTCCGTGCGGCTCCGGAGTGTATCGACCCACGTAGAATACTACAATCAGGGCGACAAGTTCTATAACTCGTGAGGGTGGATTCTCTCCGAACTCAAAATGAGCAGGAATCCATCGAGTGTTCAAGGTGAACAGCCACTGCGCAAGGTTGAGCAACAACAAAGGAAGTCTCGTGACCGAGGAGAGAAGTGATCGAAGGCTCTTGATTGATCTTCACCACCGATGTTGCATCTTTCCGGTACTGACGAGACGCTGTCCATACTTTCGCTTGGCACCCGCTCCTTTAACTTTCCATTAAAGTTCACAATCTTGTGCGACAGAGCCATGGCTTCGCAGACGACCACTTCGCTAAAAATGAACTCGTCAGATCGGCAGCCGGAAGGAAGTAATTTGTCGAAGAGAGCACACCTTGGTATCCTCGCGAATCTTACGGAATAATGGCGCGATTCGGGAGAAGTCCGCTGACGTACCTCGAAGAAAGGTTGGATGACTGACGGTTTTCCAGCAGCCTCCTCCTCACTCATCGAGAATGGGACGAATCTCCGAGAAGACATGTGGGGGTCAAGCCCATCATCCGATTCTGCTGAGATCCCTGAGCTTTCCCGGAACAGCCGCGAATTCAAGCAATCTACGTAGCGTTGTCAACTCAGCTCCGCCGATACGCATAGATTATGCCCTTGAGGAGAGCGGGCAGTCTCGGTCTCACGGGCGCGGGCGTCCTCTGAGCTCTCATAAGAGAACCCACAGAGGAGAAATTCAAGAATCCGGCTCACAAGAGAGTGGGTATTCTCCGGAGCGTTTCCCTTGAAGATCTTCGGTGATCCCCTCATCATCATGAATCATGACTGCCTACAGCGCTCATCGAATGAGGAAAAAATTGAGCCGAGCACTTATCTTCCAAACGTCCTTGCGGTTTTATTATTTCTGAACATCGGTTCCGTTGAATACAAATTGCAAATAATTTATCTCTTGAGTTGAAGCGCGACCTCCTGCGAACAGAGCACGAGGCGGATCTGACGCCCGTCAATAACTTAAGTCGCTCCGTGGATTTACTCAAAAAGACTGATAAATGTATCACAACAATCGGAGGAGAGCTTGAGATTCTTCCTTATCGAAGCTCAATACATAGGGAGCACTCTGTCACAACACACGAGTTTCAAGTTCTCCCATTCGCTCTAACATCAAACGATGCGTAAATAGGAACGGTTTGAGGTCATGGTGATCGTATCATTAAGTTAGTTTCATAAATGCACATGTTCTCGCTTATTTACATAGATATACATGGAACATTGATGAAAGGTTTAATTAAAATTATGTTCAAGCTCTCCGCATGCTATCCTCGAAGGGCGACGTGAGGGGCGCTATCGAGGCGATGGAATCCGATCGTAAAAGCAGCGGCTCGTTCTGAACCTCTCGGGGAACGGCCAAAGTTAACCAGCGAGCGCATTTTATCGAGTTTCTCCGTTGTCCGATGTCGCGGCGGAGGCATTTCATTTGGTCGACGAAGGCACATTCCAGGTTTTTTTGAGTTTTGGCTGTAACAACTTTCGAAATTACTCCAAGTTATTCAGAGAATTCTCGTGTAGGATCGATCTTGGCCTTTAAAGACCCGAAAGGAAAATTCGACGACGAAGATAGGTCTCCGTACCTGAGAATTTTTTCTTGATTTCGAGGCTCCCGGGGCTCAGCTCCGGCCTGTCGGGCATTAGGGAACGATTCGAGAAAAGTCCCCGGAAAGATAATCGCTTGTTGGTCTTGCTGAGCGACCCGTGGTGAGCGATGCATTGCACTGACTTGAGTAAGAGCTCGATCACCTGGAAGAAGACAGCGACCGCTTAGTCAAGGAAATCAGCGCCCGGCGATGATCGTCGTCGACCCCGAAGGCCGCGTATGGGCGACAGAGCTGGGCAAATTCAGGGGGAATCGATTGGTGGCCCGATGGAATCGGAATTCTCTTTCGCAACTTACTTTGCTGAGCTCCTGCAGGAACGGAGATTCGTCGGGCATGGTGGGGCTATATTGGGTGAGCCAGGTTATCAGCGATCTCGTAATGTATCTGTATAGCTGGATGAGGACATCGCGGAACAGTCTCTTATCGTTGTTGGAACCCGCTGCCAAGGGCCAGATGCGGAAAATTTTCTCGATAATGGTCTTCGACCACAGGTAATCACAGGCGACCTGGGAATCAGGAGAGAGAACGTCAAGCATGATTGGGGGAAGGGGCTAGTGACGAGAAATCCGAGCAAATGGATACAGCTGTTGGCGTGTCTCTTTCTCTGGCTATCTCTATGAATACACTCCGCAGGTGAGACCGATGACGCAACGCTCTTCCCGGCCTCGGGGTCAAGTACTTCGGTCATAGACACCCTGCCGGCGCTCCGCTCGTGATTCGTGACTCAAAGCTAAGGCTCGATAGCCGTTGAGGAGGCTCACGTTGTCCCTCGTGAAAGAGCTGGGCCCAAGCACTAGGCGACGGCGAGCAACGCTCACGAGGTTTGCCCCCGAAACACACGAATACCTCGCCAGGATGATCTATTGATTAGCGCAGAGCTCAAGTGGGGTCGTCCGCTGAGATTCGCATCTCAAGCCGGATAGAATCTGTCAGAGTGGATCCTAATTATTCGATTACTGTTGTCGTCAATCACAATTAATCAGACCCTGCCCGACGTGTGGAAGAGCGCAGTCAAGGCTACATGGCGACAGCTAACGTCAGATCGGGGTGCGCAGAATGTGATCGTCGTAAATCGCTGACTGCCTGAGCTATCAAATCGGACAACGGGAAGTGCAAGGAAAGGCTTTCGGAAGCGAAAAGAGAGGCTCCCATGAGGAACAACTCTCATATCATTCCCGAGAGCAATGGTCGCCATCGGAGGGGATGTTCGAGTCTGAGGAAAACTCACTCCGGACTCTCCTCGTGGATGGAACTTTGTCCGATCGAGGAAAACCCGGAGAAAGCAATTCCCATCGGTTTCGAGGAACGGGGCACCAACGCTTAAACAAGCTCACCTGTTGCAGCGCCGAGTTGAGCGTGCTCGACATGAACTTCGGAGCGATTTGCATGACGAACTGTAGCGATTCATAGCCATTGTCCAAATCGTTCAAAATGGCTGTCTTGAGCTCTTCGAAGCTTCTGCTGAAATGCCACATCACAATCCTGAGTAAGTAGTCCTTGTCCATCGCGACGAGCCACCGCTCGAATCTGCTCGTGGCGCAGGAGTAGACCTTCTTCGCTTCTCGCAACAAATGCTTGGCCGGTGTTGCTGGCTTAGTCATGTTCAGAGCGATCATCACCCCCAAGTTGGCGGTGGCAACTCGTTCCAACGTGGACATGCTCGTTGTTAACGTCGACGACGGGTCGTGTTTTGTTTTCAATCGGGGCCGAATGTCACAAGCGGACTCTCACGATAAACAAACGAAAGTCAACGAAGATTTTTCGGGCGTAGCGAACACTGAGATCAGTTCTTTTGCTTCGACGGTGTTTTATTTCCGATTCAGAAACGTGGTTTCAATCTCAACGGTGCGCGTTCACTGAGCGGTGTGGTCGTGAGTGAGCACGCTTGGCTCTTAAATAATATTTTGCCAGACAGGTCCTCCTCTCTCGTTTTAGAGGAGGTGACCATAGGAAGAAGCCCGCGGATCTGTAATCAATGCTACCGCAGCCGCTATTCTGTCGAAGAGATTATCGACTATGCGGTACTGACACCTTAATGGGATACTCGCGCGGGAGCAAAGGCACCAATATTTGTTTTGTTGGAGCGAGGAGCTCCGAAGCGGAATGAATAAGACAAGAGTCCGTTGAGAGAGAAGCACGTGGAGTTGGACCTTTGCCAACCGGCCCCTCCTTGAAAACTGAGATCAGTCCGATCGCTCAAATTCCATCTGGACTCATCCAGTTATCGGCCATATCGTCGTTCTCAAATTCTCTCGAGGGAAGCCTGTCTCAGCCGACAGTGATCGTCAACTTGATCCGGCCAAAGTTCCTCCGAGGAATGTGGCGAACGGAAATCACCACGAACACACCTTCATTCCGGAGAACTCACTACAGTGGAAGCAGATCCGGGTCCCATGTTCCTGAGCCGAGAACGAGAATAGGGAATTCGCGGTTGATTTCCGAAGGCAGTCTCGCCCGAAGAACATCCAAGTCCTCCAAGCCCACATGCAACGCAGCCCGGACCTTGCTCCGAGGGCTGTCTATTGGGTACGTGCCCAAGTCTGTCTCTCCGTATCAGAGCACAAGATGTCTGTGCGGACTTCCCTCGTTAGCTCGTATAAAGCACGAAGGTCAAAGTTCTTCGATCCGCGGTTCGTGAATCACACGAATCCTATTTTTGGTGACTAGGAAGGATGAGCGTACTATTCGGGTGGAAAACAAATCCGAGCATGGGGATCTTGCACAGACTGTAGATAATATTCGCTATATTCGGATCGCGATAGCGATTGGACTCAATACGGCGATCTCGATATTCTCGATACCTCTCAACACGAGCGCCGCGCAATCAATGCCAATCACGACTCCGGCATATCGAGAATTCCTGACGGAGATTTTTCCAAGGAGCGAACCGTTCGGATTGTCCATGGAAACTTGCCGCTGACCTCTCGGGCTCTGGAAATTCTTACGCTCTCGCAACGTCTACGAAAGGGACGGACATTCATACGGTCTTGCAAACAAAACCGCAATCTGAGTACCGTGGAAAATATCCATGGACTTTCGCGTACGACCGTCCGCCCAAACCGGAGCGTGTATCCACGAGGCAGCATGGCGAGCAAATAAACACACAAGCCGTAGGCGACCGACCGATCGCCGATTGTTGTTATTATCGACCTGTTAGTCGATCCGAGGACCGAGTGAAAACGACCGCTGCCCACATTTGCGTGCCGATCGAATGACGTTCCATGGCATCATCATCTGGCTACATTAGCAATAAGCTTGATTGGAAGCCTGACCGAGTTTCGTCGGCTGAGTGCCGAAACACCATGTCGGAACTGAATCGGTGCAATCTCGGCTCTCGACGACCCCGTGAGACTCCTGTCGAGATCAGCTCATCGGAGCTTCTGGTTGGAACTCCGGGTCTCATCGAAGTGTGGACATCAGCTCGCTATTCCGTCGACCGGCACGACCTTGAGCGCTGGTGCGATCGGTTCTCCCATCGACGATCGAATACGTTTCGAAGGAGAGGAACTAAAATAAAGTGAGCCATTCGAGAAACCTGAGATCTTCGGCGTGAGCTGTGTCTCCAACAGACACGGCTTGTGTAATGTCCCTCGAGACGTTCTCATAGAGTCGACGGTGCGCGGAAAAATGAGACGGACCGGTGGAAAATTTTCGCTCACATCGCGTATCGCTTAATGAAAGAGATAGTCGGCGATCGTTCTCGATCTCGTCAAAAATTCTTTCAATCAGAGCGTGAATTGAAGGAGGCCCTAATCTCATCTCTTCAAGTTGAGGAGAACTTCGAATCGAACGTCAACTCACTAATTTCGGAAGTTACTTTTCTCGAGTAATTGCCCAGGGCGCAGTTCATCTTCCTAGGAGATGAGTTCCGTCGCGACTGATTCTTGGATGGAAATTTCGCGAAAGGCGAGGAGAGTAACGAGCCCGAAGGTATGAACCGACCGATTCGCAGTCAGGTCCTCCAGTGCTTTGTGTTCATTTCTCAAGCTACGAGGACATATGGGAGGAAACTTTTCCGTAGGGAAAAAGTTCACGGCAAGAGAATAGTTACACAATCAAGGCTGGGCCGATGGCTCATCCCTGGGCCTAACCCGACGCCGAGTTCGAGCGTGTGGCAGTCGTTAGATTACATATTTCGTATCTCATTTCAGTGATGTAGATCTCGAGAGTGATATTGGGGAATTCTCCGGCGACCGCCGAACGACTCTGCGAATTCTCCCCGAGCATATCTTCAAGTGAGTGCTCTACTGGCCTACGGAAAAACATGCGGGAACTTGCGTACGAGGGACCAGTCAGCGTCTCCGCTCAGAGCCCTCGACCGATCTCATCTGGAGATCTCTTATTCGACCATCATTTTCTATGATATTTCTCTCGATTATGAATCGATAATCGGGCATCGAAGCGAATACATGCCCATCGATTGAACTGATTTCACATTGCACGCAGAAAGGATTTGAAATCGAAGTATAAGGCACCAAACTTCACGTACGGTGCCATTCTACAGTATTGTCGATTGTCGATGGTCAGTTGGAACAGGAAGCTTCCTCAATTCGACTTCGAGGCGTCAACTGGGATACATTGCGATAAGTTTTTACAACGAGCCCAATAACGGCCTTTGGACGCTCGCGGGAGAGTCTGCAACGATAAATGGCACAGTCCATGGAACTGGCTCTTGGGAATGTAATTCGTCGAAATGGCTAGGGCCAACTTCCGAATGGCTTTATCTGGGCCCCCGATCTGGACTTCCGACAGTTGCACGGTATGGGGAAACCTACGAAACTCCGTTTTTCAAGAAACGGGAGAGCTCCGGGAAATCACTCCTTCCTCATGCGTTGATGCGCTGAATTATTGAGCTCCGTACATGGCAGTGGAACTCGGGGAAATCATTGATCTACAGCTGACCAGGGATGACGACGCTCAACATGGGATATTCCTGTGTGGGAACCTCAATGAGAATTCTCGATGAATCGTCGACGGCTCAAAACCAGATTAATCCATAGCGAGCTTAAGCGACATCCATCGGAGAGAATCGTCACCTGATCCGAGGGTGACCCTTCACCTACGAAGCCCATTCACGGATCAAATCAATGAGACGGTTACTACGTTGAAGGAACTCTTTGTCGGTGCAACATGGGGCAACAACAGGATTGTAAAAGCTAACGAGGACAGCGTCATTATAATCATCCCCGCTATTGCCCACTAGCTGGGGGGGGGGGGGCGGAAATTGAGGAATATCCCCACTAACAATAAACTATATCAGACAGAGCGTCGTCCCTCGCAATGGCCAGTCGTTCCATTTTCACTTCGAAATTCTCGGTGGCAGAAAATCACGTGAGATTTCCTTCTCGCGGGACCAGATCTTCTTTCGCCGGGGTGTGTCATCCCGGCCTGATTCTTCAGGTTCGGTGTTTCGTCTCGGACTCGTTTCGCTGTATGACGCAATTTTTGATCTCAGCTCGTGATTTCTGAATGGATACTGATTGAGGCTGCTTCCCAGGCGGGATTCCCAGTAGCTTCCTCATCACCGACGAGTTTAGCTGGAACTGACCGCAAGCCAAAGTAAACAGAGCTGTAAAAGCGAACACGTCGAATTTCAACCAATTCGCCACTGTCGTATCTCCCATCGATGCCCATTCCGGCAAAATAATCAATGAGCCCACTAAGCTGCCTTGGCGAATAGCAGCTGTTCCGAATTTTCGAGAGGCAAAGTGAATTTATTAATTGTTTTTTTTTCCAAAGGCTTAAGATTTTCGCGATTGGAGAAGTAACTGGGAGCTCGATTCTCGAGTCCATAGCCACTCGTCTATATATCTTTACCGCGAGGAACATTACCGTCTGCCTGCGTTCAAGTTTCTCGAGTCGATCGTTGGTGAGACTTCGATAGAGATTCAACGGAAGACGTGTGGACAAAGTGAAGACGTGTGGTATGTCTACGTCGTTTATGGGAGCGTACCGAGACGGCTTAGTCTAGTCGGTGAATTCGAATACCACCGGCACAACCACAGTCATCTCCGCTTGCCAAAACAGGTGAATGAAACAGCTCCTATGGAAGGAATTCGCCTGAGCGAGGAACAGTGAAAAAAACACGCCACGCATTCTTGTAAAAGATAACCGCTATCCGCTAGGTAAATGACAGTAGTGGCAGGAGAAAGGGACAATCCTTCTTCATTCGTTTATCTTTGCAAAGCGTAATCTCCGGATGTCTTTGTCAGGATTAACGGAGGAAACTTCGGATGGCATTGTGGAGGTTCGACGGCCTCTCTTACCGAAATGTAGCCAGGGGATCATTTTGAACGGCTTGCGAGAATAATTATTCTGATAACCCGATGGTAAAAGATATCCCTTAGAGCGGGAGGTCCGACGAGTCGAGATTCGGAACCACAGCTACCTCATCTGTCGAATTCGAGATGTACACAGGCTCACAATGTGTGAATTTACCATTCCGAGAACAGAAATATCTAGTCTCATCGGTGTTCGCCAGCATTCCGCATCGATGATTCGATGCCAAGTCAGAGAAAGGTGCTTCCGATAGGATGGCGATCCCGCTTAGATGAAGCCATATTTCTCGAAACCTTTACGGGCAGCACCGCGTGGTGACCCACATATACGTCATTCAGCTGGACCTGTTCGGTGAGGGTTTCCCGGAGATCGCGAACAAAGTATTTATTAATGCTGCTGCCGCTGCGAATGGCAGTGACGTCACAACAGGCTCTAGTCGATGAACGGGACGCATTAGGTGGTATTAATAACCACCCGACAGACAGGGCGCTTACTGGGAAATCCTCACTCAGCTGGGGGAGGGGGGCTGCAGCGCAAAGTCAAACACGCATGCTCGTTATCTCACGGTGTGCCACGGGATTCCTCG